TGGCAACTAATTATTATTACCTCTTATTTTTAATATGTAGTGAGAAGTTGCACACTAATTAAGAATATTTTTTTTAATAATAATCTTATTTAATGAAAATAGAGATAAATGTTTTGAGAAAAAAAATGAAAAGTGAATATGAAAAGACGTAATGTATTTATTGGCTAAATGAGAGTAATAATGAAAAAATATGTACAAAAGATCCAAAATGACATTTATTTGACAAATAGTTAAAAAAGTTAGAATGACATTTAAAAAAAATAGGAAGAAGTATGAAATATTTGCCTTAGAACTCACCAAACTCCCAAGAAATCTCCCTTTAACATATAAGAAAAAGTTGTAGGGGTTCTATGCCTGACACGTGTCTTTATTTATGCCGAAAATGTCCCTGCTGAAGCTTGTTCTTTTTTCCCACGGTTAAGCAGTTTTATGTAATTTCACTACTGCCTTTGAAAAGTTGGTCTTCTTGCTCAGATTGATTGGACAACTTTTCTTTGAAGGTGGGGCCGTTTTGGGGTTTCTTGCCCTGAAAATCTGTTTAGTTGTGTTCTGACATTGTTCTGTCAACCCACGTCCTCAGACATCATTTCCTCAACACTTTTTCTGCTTTGGGCGAGTTGACAAGTTCTCCCCCAAAATCTGCTATTTCCCTCCTCCACGCAACATTAACCTACTCTCTCATTCTACGCTCTATTTTGATTTACCTAATCTGCAAATGCACGTTTCTACTCTTGATTTTTTTCTTTGAAATCATGGAAGAGAACTAGACGATAGCTGCCAGAGTTCGGACATTTAAAGATACACAACGAAGCCGACGGGGACACTACAGTTCCGACGACGATGGTCGGCGCGGCGGTTAGAACCCGAGAGGTGGCGCGGCGGAAGAAGGCAGGTTTGAAAACGACCGATACATTGTAGCCCTAACCAACCGACTCTCCCCTTACGAAGTGTTGTTATTTTCAAGTCTAACTTGTGGTGATATGTTGTTATTTTCAGGTCTTTGATGAAGAAGAATCAGATGCAGAAATTAAACAAAAAGATGATGACCAAACTTGCGAAAAGGTAATGCCATTCAAAAAGGGGGACAAATATTTTTCTTTAAGATGCAATTTTAAGGTGTTAAAAATCACTATTTGTGGAAATGACTCAAATTTCAATTTTTTGATAGTGAAAATAAGAATATGAAAGCAAATTAAAACGAAAAAAAATGTGTAGTGAAGAAATAATTGAACTTGTTAAGTTACCAAAAGCATTTTTCTGGAAGTGTATTTATTATGTTAATTGTTTCCTTTTTCCTTTTCCTATGTGACAGTGTGCTTCAAGAAAAGCTAAAAGCTCCTCTTCAGAGGAAACTTATGAGGAAAAAGAAGAGGAAACTTCTTTGGAAAAAATCTGTCAGTTGAAACAAGGTAAAAAAACGACACATATCTCTTCTAATTCTGTTGCTAAATGTGGGTTTATTTCTTATTGTTATACGAAAGTTGAGGAATACAATTGTATTATGCAAGATGATAAATTATAATTATTCACTTATTTTTAATTTTGTTCACAACATTTTTTTTTTCATTTTATTGCCAGGAGACAGAGTGAAATATGTAGGACAGAGCAGCTTCATTAAAGAGAATAACATGTTGATGGACTCTCGCACAATGCGAAGTTCATCAGGGACCACATCACCTTTCTCCTCTACTCCCAAGTCCCACCCCAACAAGGCCCCCTATTTTCCACTACAGCAGCCGGTCGCCGGCGCGTACGTTTCCACCGTCAGACGACCCTTGCCTGTTTGTCGCTGCTGCAGATGCAAGTCTAATGACCATAACTGCCCCCACACCACCGTTGAAGGAGAAAAACGTGTTGGAGAATGCTCTGGAAACCCATAGAGTAAGGTGCGTGTGCGTTCGTGTATTGCTCAGGTTTTATGGAGCCGGAGGTCTTTTTGTTTAAACAAAATTACCAATAGGGTGAATGAAATTAGGTTTTTAAGCCTTGATAATTTGGTTGATTTGATCGTTTCTTGCTTTTCATTTTTTTTTTTGTTACTGTCAATTATGGTTGTGCGGCCTGTTAGATTTCTGATGTTCCAATGGGTAATTTTTGAATGTCTGGGTTATGTTACGCAACTAGGGTTTTTGATAGGTTTCTTTGAGGTATCTGCACAGAAGGGTTTGACGACGGAGGTGAAGGGAAGGCTGTGAGGTACCCCACTTTTTGGTGTTGTACCACCAGCCGATTCCTACATACCATATGATGACCACTATTAACCCCGGACGAGGGGCTGCGATGTACCGGAGAGGAGGGTATGTGTGGAGGACGATGGGATGGACGGTTCGGGACACCGCTGGTCGTTGTTGGGGGTACAGAGAACTCCAGCCCATCAGCCTGTCCATGAGCCCCAGCTCGCGGTCGACCTACTGTACCCGATGGTCGCAATTCTCAACCTTCTGGGCTACAACATCCAGAAATTACGTTCTACAAGGTGGATGATTCTGGCAAGGTGCAGTGGCTCAGGTATAAATCTTTTTGCCTTACAAGTTTTACATGGTTAAATTGCTGGTTAAATTACTATACCCAAATCTGAGGTTAACCCTTAATTATTCAAAATTTTATGCGGACTTCTCTGATTCTTTTCCAAAAAATCTCTATCTGGCGCTCCAGTTCTCATGCTAATGATGCCATTCACCTCAGATGGTAGATTCACTGTTCAATTGTTGTTATCTTATAAGTTTCTGATCTATATAATGTTGATGGGCTGATTGCGGAACAAACTTATTATTTACACACTGGAATCTAAAGTCTTGAAATCGATGCAACTTATGACGGGTATTTTTCATTTCTTTTTTTAACATAATTCTAGGAATCATATTTGTGCAAGCTTTTAATGGGTTGTGCTAACATCCAAATAGGCATATAACTGTATCAGGCACATTTCTGACATAAATGAAGGGGAATGATATAGGGATGGTGTCATTTGGTGGCGTGGTACGTGTGGCGGTGAGTGAGCATCGTGATGAGTTGGACCGCATGAATGCTTTTATCCAAGGAGGTTACTGAGAAGATTTGATGATGATGACAAGGTGTTGGAGGTGTGTTGTGGCTGTGGGGATTTTAGTTTTCTGTTGTCCCTCGAAGTTGGAACCAATGGCAAGGTTTGACGGCTCACATCATTTGACGTTCAATTAGTATTCATCTTAGAGATGAACGTTGTTTTTATTATTATTATTATTATTATTATTATTATTATTATTATTATTATTATTATTATTATGATTATTATTGTTATTATTATTATTATTATTATTATTATTATTATTATTATTATTATTATTATTATTATTATTATTATTTCCTTTTCAACTTTTTTCTTGGGGCTGCACCTTTGTAGGTCACTGTTGTGGATTTCTCAAAGGAGCTATTAGAGGTTGTGGCATATCGCCAGCGTGGGTGGTCACTAAACTGTGCTACAAAAACATTAAGTAAGATATTCTAATAATCTTATTTGGCACTGAATTTTCTTTCCACTATAATTATGTAATTAGTATCCTTCATGAGGACTTGATGAGATTTTATCAAAACTGTTAATTTTGTAGGTGGACTCGTTGAGATGCAGTTACTTTACCATTCCCTTACTCCAATTGTGATGCTGCCACCATCAGCTATAGGTTGAGAACTGTGGTGGATAGGAAAAAGGCTATTGAGGAGATGGTTGGTTTTTAAACCCAGTGCGAAGTTACCCGTTATTGACTTCAACAAAAGCACTAATCGGCTGACCTCTAAAATCCAGGTACATGGTTGGGCTTGGTTTCAAAAGCTATGTATATACTCCAGCAGCTTTAATATTTGTATACAAGTATATCCCTATACTAACATTGTTTTTAATTAATTCCAGGATTGAACGATTGACAAATACTTGAAGAATTCAATCAAGGAGTACCTCACAGGTTTGGTGCAATTGGTCAACGAACATTATATGTTATATTTAGCAGAAACTGACTGGATTAAAACCAAAATGAATAAATTGTTTAATTGTGCTTTTAATAATTCAGGGAAAGAGTTGGAGAAGTTAGCTTTGGAAGCAGGTATTTCTCAGGCCAAGCACTCGGGCAATATTATGGCACACATATTTTGATTAAATGCAAATGAATGTAGCTGATTTAATTTAACATTTTGGTATACTGTGTAAATATAGCATGTTTGTCTGCTTCCAGTCGGATGCCAGATTGTGAATTGGAAACTCTCCGCTCCTTCTTTTCTTGACGCTTGGCATATGTGAGACATGGATTGCAAGATGTGTTATCTGCTTTAGTTATACACTTTTTAAGCAAACATTTTTTTGGACTGATGCTGATGTTTGTATTCTGCTTTGCTTGTTGTTTCTTTCTTTTTCATTTTAAACATTCTACGGGATTATTATAATATATTTTAGAATTTAAATTTGTTAGTTTTGTTGTTTTGTTTTGTATTAGATAACCCATACCAAATTCACCTGCCGATCAACAAAAAGGGCTACGACTCCATCCAGATTTCCCTGGTCAAGAACCATGCTCTGGCATGGCGCACGCCGCCTGATTTTACATCGCACTAGAAAGGTGATGACAGTATTATAACTGTTTGTCTTTTCTGGACATGAATTGTATGTTGTAATTTGAAAAGATTTGCAACATTTCGCAAGATTAGTTTGTTTTTTCAAATGGTTGTGGCTGCAAGGTTTGAATCTTTAAGAACTCCCTTTCCCATCCCTTTTTATCTAGATAATGATGGATTCTTTGTTGAGTGATTGTTCCATATGGGTCGAATGGAACCCGAATTGTTCGTCTGAATATGAGAGATTACTGAAAAAACAAATTCTTCGATAGACGTAAAATAATAAAAATATTTTCAAATTCAGGTGCTAATGTATGAATTGTACAGTTACAAGAAGCTACTGCATCCAGTGATCTCAAGTTCTATCACATGGATCATGCAGAGAAACATAAGGTATATAGTGTCCGAGCCTTAATAAATAATCTCTTTTTGGTCCCACTGGAAGATTTGAAGGCCACCAACCGGAAAACAGACCATTCTTAATTGCGTTGGTTCATATTACTCTTTGTGATATTTAAGTCATTCGTGATTCTCTCTGTTCAGGTCCTTAACGAATGCGTGCAATCTGAAGCTTGGCTTAGGGAAGAAGGCAGCACCATGATAACCTCCCAAAGTATGCCACTCCGGTTATTTAGTCTGCCGACATGAGGAAAAAAGTTGAACCTCTCGACAGTTAAATCATTATGTTACATGCCAATTTAATGAAGGGATTTATGTGTATGGAATCTTTGTTGTTTCATGTACTTTATACTAACCGAGCATGTGGAGCCAAAACTTCTAGATGCAAGGATAACTTTATGCGTGTAAAGATGTTAATTAGCTGCTGAGACGTTATTGTATACCTTAATCCTTATTCTAAGGCATAATTACAAAAGTTAATCCGAGATGGTTGCCTTAATTACCACAAAGCTCAGTTTTTTAATCTTTTCTATAAAGTACCCTCTTGAGTACCAACAAAACTTTTCGGAGATTACGAAAGAATTGCCTGGGGATATATTTATTTGTGATTCTTGAATGTTGTTTCGGTGGTTCAAAAACACATGGAAGTATTCATTGACAAATGTGGATTTTTTTTTCTTTTTACTTGATTAGTCAAAACTTGGGGGTAGTGAGGATTTGGATCTGGGGATATTTGTACCTGAAAAAGAAGTGAAATTTAAGGTGTGTGGGTTCTCATTTTTTTATGTTTTTGCCTTTTACTCCAGTAGTCACTCTATGATGTTTGCTGCAGATGATGGATACTGCTGATGAATCCAAGTGAATAAATTTTTGGGTCAATTTTTTATTTTATTATATTTTATTTTCCTAAAGGTGTTTAAAGACAAAAAAAAAAATCACAAAAAAAATCATATGGTTAAAAAGGAAGAGAGATGTTGCAGGGCATGGTTTATTTCTATCTAGCACCAAAGTTAATAAATTAAGCGATGTTCGTGTTCCTCTTCATTTCACCTTATTTCACAGGTGCAATCACCATGGCTAATAATCACCAAGAATTTTTCGTAGAGAGCATTCAAGTTGAAGGATTTTCATGTGGGCCCTGTGCATTTTTCATGCAATTCTTTGATTGAGCTCAATAAACATAATCTTGGGAAATTTTTTTTTTTTTTTCTAACCAGGTAATATATAATTTTTTTTAGCCATGATGTAATTTATTATAACTGTTGTTTTTTATTTGGTTTGGTTTATAAGGGTATTTAAAGATCATTTTCTGGATGACCATTATGTGAATTTTTGTCTAAAGTGTGATGTTTTGAAGTTTGAAGTGTACTTTTTTTTTTACCAATCCTGCTGCTACTCTTGCTTTTTCTAAAACTTCATTTTTTTCCATGTTGTAATGTTGTTACATTTACAATGGAAGTAGTTTGTGCATATTTTTCGTTCTATGGGCTTTCATGCCCAGGAGTGATTTGGCACATGTTTCATGTCAATTTAACATAAACGTAAAAGAGTAGGAGCAATTTGATCTAGAAAATCCCACGAGCAAGTTTAATATGGATGTTATTTATGTTTGCCTTGGTGTCTTACTTGAAATTATTCTTATTGTCTACGATGGATAAACATACCTTGAGTTGAAGTCGTACATATTTATATTAGGATAACTTTTTGACAAGTTTTCTCTGGCACACCTTATTGAATGGTTAGGAAAGCTATAGTGCTTTGTGTTCATAGACTGTTGTGGGTGCTTTTTTTAAGATATGAGTAAATGGAGGTGATTTTTGGGATTATGGTTCGTGGAACTTTTGCAACTTCAAAGAATGATACGATATTTTTTATGTTTTTTTTTTTCTATTTTGATTATTAGTTTCAGTAATGTTAAGATATTCTGTGTTTTTTCTGCATTGTTTGATCTTCATTATATGTTTTGCTTCTATGTCAATGATGGTCTTTATTTTGTAAAATATAATCATTTTGGACCAGAGTTTAGGACTAATAGTTAATGTGCTTTAAAGGAAGGAATTTTAGTGGGCCTCCTGCAAACATACTGTAAGGGCATGCAGCCCAACACAATTTCCAACCGCTTAGTTCCAGGTGATGCACAATTTGGAAGTGAGAAACTTAATGTGGGTGCAAATGCCCTTATAGGGCATAAAGTTATCTCATAGCTTTAATCTTGTTCTCAGTGAAGTTTTATTGCACAAAATTCATGGTTTGTGGTAGGGTATACAACCATTAATGAATGCACAAATTTCATGGTTTGTGGTAGAGTATATAACCATTGAACTCGCGGTGAAGTATGTTTGAAAAAAAAAATATTGCAAAGATGTAAACAATGTGTTTGGTTAGTGATTTTGGATGAACATATACACTTTCTTTTGACGTTTTCTATGATTCTCGGACATGTTGTGGGACTCCAACCTTTATGATGGATTTATATCAAGTAATTTCAATCTGCTTTTAAAAATGTTGCGAAATGTATGTGTATCTACTCTTCGAGTCGGCCAATTATATGGATAAGGTTAGATTTCTTTTGAACGCCACTACTAGGATTTTATAATGAACCAAAAACTTTCTTTTGACGTCTTTTGTGATCGTTGGATATTTTGTCATGTTGTGTAACTCCTACTTTTGTGGTGGATTATTATGAAGTCGTTTCAAACTACTTTGAGATGCTAGCAAATGTATGTGTGTATTCTTCCAGTTTTACAAATATATGTGTAATGTTGGACACATTTAACCAATTCTTTTATGGCATACTAAAAAACAATCACTATTTCATAGTTATAGACTAAACTTGAGTCGACTAAAAAACAATCACTTCTAAGACTAATTGAATGTAGTTGTTTCTGTTTAGGGGCCTCAAATGTCAAATTATTAATCAGTTGATAAGATGTTTCGATTTCTTAACGAAAAAATTGTGGACTTATTTAAAACGACTATTTGCTTTTTTTCCTGTCAGCTGTCAATAGTGGATGATGTTATAACAACCATCTATTTTAAACAATTAAATCTATTAGTTTCATGCCTTCAAATATGTTTGTTTTTTTTTTTCCTTAAATTAAACTAAAATTATTGAACTTGAATTTACAAACAAGGACAATAACATCCAAAAATGAGAGACACGTTTAAAAAAGTTAAAAATAATAAAACAAATCCTGCAGATTCGGTTTAATAGTTTAAAACAATTTAGCAAAAGAGATACATTTAACAAAGCTATAAATTAACAACACCATCAAAACAATATAGTGGTAATCATATCAAACACCAACATTCTCAAAACAAAGGATGTGCAAGTCTTCCCGTCGTCTTTGCACATTTACATAATAGAAGAAGTATATACATACATAACAGTTTAAATGTTGGACTTCGGACAATATATTACATTTCTGCATTGAAAGTTAT